CCTCAACTTTCTCCGTCCATACCTTCACCAGGCTAGTCGCTCCGTTAAACCGGAATATGCTCGCGCGTACCTCGCTGTTCAGCGGCGCTTTGCTCAGAGCCTAGCCGCCGATACATACACCGGCCCACATGACGTCGAGAAGCAGAAGCGCCTGGAGCACTTGGGCAAGGTAAAGCCGTTGGGCGACTACCACCCCAGGTTGGTTCACTCTGCGGATGCTCAGAACTTGTCGATACGCGACTTCAACGCCAAGTACGATGGCGTCCAGGAGACGAAGGAGGACCTTGTGTCTGTGTTTGGTAGGGTGCACCACCCATGAGCACCAGTCTGGTTCTGACAATGTCAGGAAGGGTGCGCTCAGTGCGACTGCTCGGCTCCAAGTTGATGTTCCTCGATATCGAACGCGACACCCAGCGATTGCAAGTCATGGTGGAGCTCAAGAAGCTCACGCCGCAAGATAACTTGGACGAGAACTACAAGAGTTTCAAGAAGGTCGCCAGAATTGGCGATTGGGTGTGTAAGTAGACAAATCATTCAGCTTCAGATCAGACTCTTATTCCGTATAGCTATCAAAGGCAATCCTACGAAGACATCTACTGGACAACTCTCTGTCCTTGCTCTTGATGTACCTCAAATCCTCGCGCCATGCCTTCACCACCTCCCGGAGAGGATTGACGATGCCGAGACACTTGCCCGACGACCGCACATCCACGCGCTCACGAGCGACGAGCCCGGCGATGTCCTTCGATTGCGAGCGCTGATCTACGACTACGTGCGTACATACTTTATACAAAGTGGGTTTCTGGAAGTGGAGACTCCCATGTTCGACGTCAACGCTGGAGGTGCCATTGCGCGACCCTTCGAGACTGTCGCGAATGAAGTTTCCAACACCCCTGTACGGCTTAGGATAGCACCTGAGCTCAACCTCAAGCGATTGATTGTTGGGGGCCAAGACAAGATCTTCGAGATCGGACGCGCCTTCAGAAATGAGGGTGTCGACAACACGCATAACCCAGAGTTCTCGACTTGCGAGTTCTACGAAGTTGGCGCGACCCTACCCACTGTCGTCGCCAGGACGGAGCAACTGGTACACGGACTCCATACTGCGATCGAGTCGCTAAGGCCGACGTACTTCCCTACCCTAGCGGCGCCGGAAGATATCGACTTCGCACAGCCCTTCGCTCAGCTTCCCTTCATACCCACTATCGAGCAAGCCTGTGGTCGCAAGCTGCCTGATCTGTTATCGCCGAATGCTTCCAAGGAGCTGCTTCAGCTGTTTGACGACCTTGAACTCACCGCTCCGCCCAACCCCACACTTCCACGTCTTCTCGACACTCTTGCTGAGATATACATCGAGCCGCTCTGCAAGAATCCCACGTTCATCACTCAACACCCTGAAGCGCTCTCTCCACTTTCAAAGTCGTATCTTGACGAGGCTACTGGACAACGCGTTGCATCTCGCGTGGAAATGTTCATCCATGGCCGCGAATACGTCAACGCATATGAAGAGGAAAATTCTCCGTTTGAACAGCGTCGCAAGTTCATGCAGCAGCGTGATTTCCACCCTGAGGGTGAAGGCGCGATTGACGAAAGTTATCTTGAGGCGCTGGAGTGGGGTATGCCTCCCACTGGTGGCTGGGGTTGTGGGTTGGATAGATTGGTTATGCTGTTCGCCAGCAAGAAGAGGATAGCAGACGTGCTACCTTTCGGTACACTGCGAAACGTTGTTAGCATTTCCAAGACGAAGTGAAGTGCTTCGCTCTTCAATAGAGGAACTTTTCGTGCAGCTCTCTCCCACCACTGAGATTACAGAAACCGTGACGCTTGCCGCGTGCCGCTTATATTCTGCTATGGTGTTCTTGGTTTACTGTGTGCAAGGTGATGTGCGTCTACACCCGTGCGTTATAATGTAGTTGATATAATGTTGCTCTTTTACAGGTGTCTGAAGCAAGACGAATTGTTCAGCTTCGCAGTTTTGGAGCCTGGTACGCCTCGACCCGAACATAGGGCACACGCAACCCACGCGTACCCACAATCGCACATCGTCCCACGCTACTCAATGATGCAGTGGATGCAGAAAACTCCCAATGGTTGTGTCGTGTTACTCCATCGTTACAGTAGATGAGGGACGCCCTCCAGTATAGCCAGCCGCAGTCAGCATGGCTTGAGGCGTTGTTTCAGGCGCCCAGCAGCCCGCGGCTGCAGTCAACAGGCACCCGCTCCTTCACACGCTCGGCCTTCACGCTTGCCTCACAAACTTCGCGTAGTCTTTTCTTTGCTAAGACATGTTCTGCTTCTGTTGATCATTCTCATTGAGATCTTCTCCGAAGGTTCCCGTTTTCTGGGGTAATGCGCGTTGCGCATAGCGCGTACTGTACAACAACGCCCCGTGTTGATTAACATGTTTTGGGATGGGGCGAAATCTTGCAGATCTTCCTATACTTGAAGACGTCAGCCCTATTTCCTACTGCGCTGCTCATCCCAAGACGTCAGCTTAGCAGGAAATACCATGTCGTCGCCGATTCCTAATCCCCAATGGCAGGGCTGGGAGACACATCGGCAACAGCAGTCGCCGCCGCAACAGCCAGTGTACCCATACAACCGATACTCGCAGGCCTCTTCGCCCAACCACTCATACTATGGACACTATGCACCTGCGCCAGCATCATATATTCAACCACACTACAGCGAAGATGCGCCAGTGCCTTTCATCGCAGAGCTGCCAGCGCCCTTGCCTCCAGCTCCACCAACTACGACGTCGGAAGAGCAATTGAAGCAGGATGAGCTGCTCGCGCATAGGATGCAGCATTTGGAGGTGGAAGGTGTTCGGAAGAGATCGCTTAGTGCAGTAAGCCAACAGGAACGCCCTGCCAGTATGATGCCGCCCAGCTCCCAGCGTCTGTCACCACTCCTACATCAACAGCGATCGGCGCAAGCTTTGCGGTTACATTCAAAAAGCGTTTCATCCTTCGTCGACCAGAGACCAGTAAGCATGGCGCCAGTGACCACCCAGCTTGCGCCTCTACCTCTAGCGCATCAACACTCTGCACAATCGCTTCGACCTCACTCGAGAAGTGTCGGAGCGGCCGCCGAACCATGGAGTCCTGGATCTTTCGAACAACCGCGAGATCCAAATCTGTTCAGCACTTTACCGGAAGTGGTCATAGAGCAGCATCCAGATAAAGATCCCGAGCCATCGCTTGAAAATTTACCGATCCCAGTCTTGCTGGATCAACAGCCCACGGAACGGCTACAACAGCCTATTAGACGCCCATCAGTCGCACTAGAATCAATGTCACTGCCAGGGTATCTCGAGCAGTATCGCCAAGCACCGTATCCGCCTCAGTGGAGTCTTCCACCCGTTGTTTCTACACTGCATGCTTACCAGGAAAGCAAACGGTCATCCGGGTCCAGCTGGTTGGACACGCCAGAGTCGTGTGCATGGCGAACAATACGCCCCTCTGAACATGCACGTAACCCTATTCCACCGGCGTTTACATTCAAATTCAAAAGCACGACTGGCAGCTTCCGTAGTCCCAAATTCTCGTGGACAATGACATGTCCCGATGAGCCGACAGAGTCAGGAAAGAAGGTACCGAAATCACAGCAGACCGCATGGTCTTACGAACTGAAGCTGGACCCCAGGACCAATTTACGAAAGTCGGAAGTCTTACTCCAAGGTGGCCCAAACGCAAGATCCATTCTGACAACTTACGTGCATGCGCTCAATTACGACTCACTGCGTTTCATCGGTCCAGACGGACGTGCATATATGTGGGTTACAAGCACCAAGGTCTCCTCCATCCACGGTTCACGCTACGACACGCTGAGACATGCGCTCTTCGCTGCGATAGGGAACAATCCTGATCCGCTGTATGGTGGTATCGTGGCAGATCACTGCTTCTGGGACGGACATGTCGACACAAGCGGAGGTTATGCCCCTGATGAATCTGTCTACATACGTCAGACGACTGTGGACCCGGCACTTGTCGTAGCGACGTTGCAAGTGATGAAAGAATGGGAAAAGCATACACTCAGACAAGAGAAAAGGAAGAACTATAAAGCCTTTGCAGCAGCTGAAGAAGAAGCCCGGAGATGTGAGCTTGGAGCATCTAGCTATTGGCAAACATGAGAGGTCTGACAACACCGGACGCGCAGAGCCAGTCCTAAATCATCAACACCTGGCATCAAATTGGTGGAGATTCGCTAAGAAGTTACCGCGACGCGTCATTGTAGGAAGACTTTCCAAGCTATACGTTTGGCTCCAGCCTCGTATTGCACTTCATCTGCGCTGGCGTGTAAATACCTTGCACCGCGTTGTTGAGCGGTGTGCGCCTGTGGCTGTCTCGAACTGGAAGCTGTCTCAGGGTATGAAAGGGAACACTGGCACTACCGTATCTATCCTGCTTCCTGACAAGATGTTCAAGAGCTCTCCCGAGGGCGCTTTGAAGGAGCGGCTCGATGCGCTCGTTCAGGTTATTGTCTTTGCCGAGAGCTTCTATGTAGAGGCTTGCACTGCGAATACGGAGGCCTCCGGCCGGAAGGCGACCGTCAGGCTGCGTTGGGGCTGCAAATCAACTTGTAGGCTCTGCTATCGCCACCGTCTTCAACGCTAGTTTCCGTGCATGCAGATCGATTGCGCATCGCATTATCTTCATTTCGCTTGTATCCGTAATTCAGTTCATAGCCCGCAACAAGATAGCTCAAGAGTATCGCAAAACAATGTTGTGGTACTAATAACAACAACCCTGAGATTTCACACAGTGTAATTCTAAAGAATACACAACGCATATGCTCAATGGAAGTATACGAGATCCTCCTATGTCTTCGTCTAATCCTTTATCATTCTACGAGACTCGAGAGCTTGCTTGGTCCCAGACGCCATCAGCACGCTTGCGCACAGAGTACCGTCCTGCACCTGTTCCCGTTGATCAATGAAAGGCAGGATCTCGAACTTAGTTCCGCGTCGACATCCTATTGTACAAGGCAAACTCAATACCATGAGTTCTTCGGCTACGCCTCAAGATGTACGAGCCTCTGGTAGACGGTTAACTCCTCCTCGGTTTGAAGAGTTAGAATTGCCTTCGACCTTTGAGTCACTTACGCCTTTACGTCAATATACCTCTGCATCCGTCATAGAGGAGACAGAGAACGGAAATGACTACCTGGATGTCTTTGCAGAAGTTACTGACGCCGACGAAGTCTTTGCCGAGCAGTGGGAATCTGGAGCAACCGAGCAGTCTACAACGCCTCTGCTAAAGCGCATCGATTCCTTCGATTTCTTTGCAGGAGGAGTCAATGAGCCATCATCGATAGCAAAGACCCGGACAATGTCGACTATTACTACATTGGAGCCAGTCAAAGAGGACACGCAGCCGGCCTGCGCTTCTTTCTGCAGGGCTCCTGCGTATGTGGAGCTGCTCTTCGATGCAGAGACTCCATATGCCAGCGACGAAGATCTAGCCAACCGCAGTATGTTTACTACTGGCTCTTTTCCTGAGATAGCGACGTATCCGCTGATACATCATCAGGAACGTTTGCTGGCTCCAGATCTTCTCGATACCAGTGATCTGAAACTTCAACCGTCCCTGGCGGTGCCTGAACTACACGATGATGGATCACTTGCGTTGGACTCCGACGCCTCTCCGATCTTTCCAGAAGATCGATCTACCATTCCTGAGCTCACATGTAGACGCTCCGGTCGGTCTTTGACGCAACTTTCCGGGTCAGCCACCACGGGAATTACAGCTACCGAGGAGCGCTGGCAACTCGAGCACGACCCCGTCCTCCGATATGCTACTAGTCGTTCATTTCTTCCGGGACGAGATTCTCTTTGCAACATCACCACCTGCTCCTTAGCTGTCGAATACGATCGCGATATCGAAGACCTCTATCGCGCAACTACTTGCTTTCTTGGCGATTGCCATGATGGCGAGTGTACCTGTTTGGACAACAAGAGAGGTACTCGTTGTGTGCCCGGAGAAGATTTCGTCCTCGCTGACAAGTATGATGACTTCAATTTGTCATTGAGGTATCCCACGGCAAAAGACATTTTTGAGCTCATAGACGAGCTAGTTGATGTGGACATGTTCGACATGGAAGATGGCTTTGGGAACAGCGCGGAAGAACCACAGGCCTTTCCAGACACTTCGCTTACCACTTCACTAGACACAGACGCCTTTGTCGCATGCGGCCCGCTGCTGTACTCACCTACTTTTGACGATGTCTCAAATGTGTGTGACAGCGACAATGTCTCAGAGACATCGGAGACAAACGACAAACCAGGTTTGTCACCACCTCGATACCCTGAAATAGCATATGTCGATGCTGAAACGCACAAATGCGTCGCGTATACCGCTTTGAACCAATTATTATCGATGCAAGAAGACCGACCGCGTCCGGTGATCCACCGAGACATCCCCGAGGATGAGGATTACGACTCAGCTGAGCTGAAGGAACACAGCTATCTCAATCTAGAAGATCAAGGCCGCAAGTCCCGGCCATCGCTACGAGATGACCCTTGTCCGAGCAGATTCTGGTCTGATTTCACATCAGGTATTGGCCACCCACCAGCACCGCCACAGACCAGTCTTCAACGCCAGTCAGCTGTGCGCCAACAGTGTCTACCGTTTGGGCTGTACTCCAGCAATCTGCCTCACCATCAACGTCGCTTTCCACAGCTGACACTTGCTACTCAGCTCGTGCCTGCATCAGAGCCTTTGTCCACGGTCGACGAGGAACAGCTGTCTTGGCCCAGCCCGTCTTCCTCAGGAGACTCTATCGGCTTTGCTGATTACCAGGGGTTTGCGAAACCCCTTGAGGAGCGCCAACAAGGGTTTTCAAATGACGCAGACGAAGAAAGAGGGACCTACGTTGAACATGGCTTAGAGGCGCCGGTGATGCCGAGCTCACCTCCACTCCTCACATGCGAGGATATGTTCACTGATGTTGTTTGGGACAGCGCACCCGATCTCACACTCACTCAGCCCCATTGCGAACCACATGCAGCAGCTACAATAACGTCGCGTATACCTTCAGCCCCACTTCTCGAAGCGTTCGAGACTGAAGTTCATAATCGTCTCACGTTCATCTTCAGCTGCATGAACGATGGACGCTATGATGAGCTACCAGTTTTGTGCAATGACCTTCACTGGACCTTGTGCGCTCTCGCGCATGATTATCCAGCTATGGCAGTATTGGACAGCCTAGGAGCAGCTGTAGAGATCCTAGCTGAGCGGATAATAGCCTCGACGCCTGCTTCGTAACTTGACGCCCTAGAGCGTACGTTGACCTTAGATTACTTACTTTGCATATTTTAATCTTAATGTAAGCAGCAGACCTGCTAGGAGTTTCCTTGAACGAGATGGATGCGGACGACAGACAGAATGAAGCTGATGTAGGTGCTAAGAGTAGCTGATCTGAGCGCCGCCCACCTTTAGTGAATCTTATCAAGTCAACCGTTACTGCCTCCTTTGTGATCAACAAGGACTGCAAAGTTGGAGAAGTATCTGTGCCCCGTGTATTCGGCATGCTGCAACGGGAGTGACTGTTCTCCGAAATTAGCGAGTGTGCTGTAGCCTCAGGCTGTTGCTTCTGCCTCTTGCGGGGACACCGGACCCGTCGTCATCGCTACCAGCCCAAGTCCTGATAGTGCCAAGCTGCCAAACCAAGCCCTGTACTGAGCCCAACATGCATTAATCTCACAGCTTCGCTGCACCTGGAGATAATAGTGCAGGTTTTACAATGCCTTTATCGCATTCCTGTTCTAGTGTGGTGACAGTCTGGCTGTAGTTCCCTCGTGGGAGCTGGGTACCAACGGCCTGTTGCTGTGCGCTGGACAGTATCGAGACCTGGATCTAGAGCGATAGCCTAGTGTGGCTGGACCGCCATCCGATGCTAATAATGGCACTCTTCGGTGGAATGACCATGCTGATGCTCGTATCAGCAGAATATCGCATGACAGTGCGCTGAGTTGACAATGATCACGACATTTTACCCACGCCATGACGAAAACTGCATCAGACCATATTCCTCTTGCGAACTCGGTGAAGGTACGCTGGTATGAACATCCGGTTTGAGCTTGTGATCAGCAGGATGTTCTCTTCCAACTTCGGTATGGATACAGATGGCCGTCTGGGCAAATCCGCTGTTTCGCCAAATAATTATTGCGAATTTGCATTCGTTGCGATGAAGCTAGTCCTTCTAGCCATGAAGACGAAGTCAAACGTAAATGGCAGCGGGTGTGTTTGCGAACGGCCTATACGGCATCGCTGAGGCGCCAGACAAGGTCCGCCGGTGCATTCGAATGTTCTGGTAACAGAAGTACCGAAATCTTGATCGTGCTCCCAGCTCAATCAAGGAACAACCGAAGACTCTGGGGCCTACATTGACGCCAGATCTTCCGATTCGTTCGTTTTATCGTAGCGTAGTCTGCAGATCTGTGCAGGATTTTGTTGTCTGAGGTACTCTGCTTGCTATGATCTGTGAGAAGCTTGAGAGAAATAAGCTTCCACCAGATTCAACAAAGAGCGGAGGCAAGTCGAGTTGTGGGCACAACCAGCACTAATTCGATGTGTGATGTATGTGGCTGATATGCTATATAGCCGAGCCTTCCTAATAGCCCGGTATATTCCTGGAGGTAGTGATCCTAGTGGCTGTCGATTGGAAAATACGAGTAGCGTAGTGGAGGGGGGAGAGGCATTTGCCCAACCCAACGCTTGCATCTCGTGTCAGTGCGCACACGGCTCTACTCGCGCAGAGTACTGCAGGTTCAGTCACATAGCTTCATGGGACGCGGCATAGAACGTTTTCTGCCGCATTCGCTAGTGGGTATGACGGCCGACGCTCATGTGCATAGAGACTTGGGTCAGCGGTGCAACGTTCATGCCAGGTCGGACGCCACAGACCATCAGCGCATTGCTTGTTCTTCGCGTAGATAACCCTGGAGGGTAAAGCCGACATCTCGTAACTGCAAGTCAGCATATGTGGCGTCGCTGGCGATGGAGTAAGGAAGTATTGACTGCGCAATGAGGAAAGGCGATAATACAATACTCATCCGGATCACCGAGGGTCTGTTATCAAAGACCCGATTAGGTATAGCCTCCACGGTGGCTGGTAGTAGACATCTAGAAAATTCAGGCTCCGGCTCGTGGGTCGCCCGAGGCTACGGCCCTGGTGGATCTTCAGGAACGTGGCCGGCTATCTTTGGGAGCGGAACGTGGGTAGCGTAGCAACACCGGCAGTGTCTCCGAATGCGCGAAAGTCGCGAACGGCTGTTGTTGAGGTCTGACGGACGATGGGCTGGACTGAGATGAGGGTGATGCGATACGTGCTCCGGGTGCCGTGAGTGGATGACAGCCCCACGCTAGTCCGGAAACAGCCAAAGCGTGATGCAGAAATAGCCCACAACGGTCGCTCATCCCGGCAGCGCCGGCATCACTGTGCGGTAGGGCTGTGCCTCTACTCGCTCAACCCCTGCGGGTTTTTCTCGCTGATGCTACTGTCGGGCTGCTCACGCTATCGACAGCTCGTACGTAGAGCGGAGCCCTTCACATGGCGAGATGTTACTTCGTGTTGACAAAGTGGAGACGGCATCGACGTCAGCCATTATGGAAGCGTATAGACTCTGGAGACTACGGTATATAACTTTCGTTCCATCTCAACTATCATACTCATCCACCAACCATCACCTTCGCTTTCCAACAGTTTTCCTACACCAACACTCGCTACGGTGTCCTCACAAAAGCCTTCTAATACTTAATACCATCTCGACAACTTCCGGATCAATCACCTAGGACTCAAATCAGCAATACCATCAAGATGCGTTACTCTTACGTTGCTGCCACCCTCGTCGGCTCGGCCTTGGCCATGCCTCAGTACGGCTACTCAGCGGTTGTCCCCACTGGATACCAGCCTGCACCAACTTCTTCAAAGCCGTATGAAGCAGCATCCACTTCCAGTGCTTACCACGCCTCGACTCCCTCTTCCAAGCCGTACGAAGCGTCCACACCCAGCAGTGAGGTTCACTACCCAGCTAGCACACCGGTCTACGAGGCATCCACCCCTCCCGCTTACAGCGCATCCACTCCTGCCGCAAGCTCATCGGTATACCATGCTTCAACTCCTCTCTACAGCGCGTCTGTCCCCGCCTACAGCGCTTCCAAGCCTGCTGAGAGCTCATCGGTCTACCACGCCTCCACCCCTGTCTACAGCGCGTCTACTCCCATTTACAGCGCTTCCAAGCCAGCTGAGAGCTCGTCGGTTTACCACGCCTCCACCCCGGTCTACAGCGCGTCGACTCCTGCAGTGAGCTCGTCCGCATACCACGCCTCCACTCCAGTCTACAGCGCTTCTGTCCCCGTCTACAGTGCTTCCAAGCCTGCCGAGAGCACTCCGGTCTACCATGCTTCAACTCCCATCTACAGTGCCTCCAAGCCTGTCTACAGCGCATCTCACCCAGCCTACAGTGCCTCCACCCCCGTCTACCACGCCTCTTCCTACGGAACTGGTTACGTCAAGCCTACTCCTAAGCCTTCATCGGCTGTCGAGTACCCCCACAGCGACATCACGACCACGCTCACCTCCACCCACACAGCTTGGGTGCCATGCAGCACCTCTGTTGGCCACGGAGAGCACTCCAGCGTCATCTACTCAACCTACTTGACCCCAACCTACAACACTGTCACCGTGACATCGACCATCCACGGCTCGAAGCCCACATCCGACATGCCCGTTTACCCAGCTGAGACTCCTTCGGCCCACCAGCCCACTTACCCTGCTGGAACTCCTGAGGCTCCCAAGCCCACGTACCCAGCAGGCACTCCTGAGGCTCCCAAGCCATCCCACCCAGCCGAGACCCACCCCGCTGGAACTCCTGAGGCTCCCAAGCCAACCTATCCAGCAGGCACCCCCGAGGCCCCCAAGCCTACATACCCCGCTGAGACTCACCCCGCTGGAACTCCCGAGGCCCCTAAGCCAACCTACGCTGTCGGTGTCCCTCCCGCTCCTCAGTGCCCTGCCCAGGTCACTGTCACCAAGACTGAGCACGTAGTCGAGACCAAGACCGTCACTGTCGGTGGAGCTTACACTCCCGGCCCAGCCCCTTCTGCCTACCCCGAGGGTATGAAGCCATCCACTCCTGCGGAGCACTACTCGGAGGCCCCTAAGCCATCAGAGTCCGGAAAGCCATACCCAGTCGGCCCCAAGCCTTCAGCTTCCACCAAGCCCTACCCTGTTGGTCCCAAGCCTTCTTCTGAGGTAAAGCCTCCCTACCCTTCCTCCGGTAGCTCGATCCACTACAGTGCTTCGTCCGCGCCTTACCCAATCCACACTCCCTCCTCCTCCAAGGCCTACCCCACCGCGTACCCTACCGCTTCGTCATCCACTAAGGAGTACCCGGCTGCCACCCCTTCATCCTCCAAGGGCTACCCAGTTGCCACACCCTCTTCTTCCACCAAGGAGTACCCAGCTGCTACCCCCTCCTCGTCCACTAAGGAGTACCCCGCTGCCACCCCTTCAAGCTCGGCGGCTCACTACCCCGTGAACACTCCTTCGTCCTCGAAGGTGACCCCCCAGCCCACCGGCTACGTCGCCTACCCTCACTACTAAGCTACTCGGGTAGCTTGAGCGGATTCTCTTCACTTATCAAGCAAAGATTTCGGGCGGTCTAGGTGTTTTGACGGCAAAACAATTGCTGTAGCTCTTCTGTCTTGGAGCCTTCATTCCCTCGCCTTGTATAGCTCCAGCGTTTTAGTCCTGCTTTATCATGGTTTTCACGCGTTTGGATTTTCCTCTTCAACTGTTTATATTGAACGAACAACTGGTATAGAATGGTTATGACGGGTACGAGTTTAGTAGTAGTAGACAGAAATTATGACCAACTTTTGTCACTCCTTCAAAAGTGCTTGTTCATCTTTCCCCGTGAGTATTTTGTTAAGTGACTTCGAAGCATGTGCGACACCAACAGACAGCTCTAGCACCCAATGACGTCAGCAAAACTACTCACACAATATTTCTCAGATACTAGCACTGGCTGGCGCAAAAGAGCCAACAACGCGCTTATGCACGTACAATCAATCTATGCAACCCCGTACTCGTGTTACCAGCGACGTTGCCGCATTCGGCAGTCTTCCCGCGCAATCGATAGTCTATCTCGTATCAGTGCGCGCGAACATTTCTTTCACATCGTCAACCCACGAACATGCATCGTGAAATGTGCGCATGATGGCTTTCGTCAAATCCTGCGATAAGACACTGCGGGTGACTCCGTATTTCTGGATATGAGACGAATGACCGACATTTGGCACCGACATGCTCAAAACTTGCTCATCCAAGCAAGCTTTCATGTTGAGAGACTTGTTCGGCTAGTCGATGGAGCGGGATGACTGCATGCGATGGCCTGGATGGGCACTGTTCTTTGTCATCGGCTGTCGCAAAGACTTGTATGTGCTAGGGTGTAGCCAATACTCGCTGAAGTTTATCGGCTGGACGGCAAGCCTAGACAGACTCAACAAGTGTACTAGTAAGGAACACAGTGGGAGACGGCTTGAATTTGTATTTTCTTCAGCGATCAAGATAGGTAGAAGGATCGAGGGTTATCAGTAGAAGACTCTCGTAGAGTAATGGCTTACGGCAGAAAGTAGAGAGGATGGCGGCGCACTGAGCGCCGTCGAGCGCGATAAGCGTTTGAGATGACTGGTAGAAGGGGGATGTAGTTGCTTTGAGGCATTGGACTGGAATGATTGACCAGTCATCGTTTGGCTTATCACCGTCCTTCCCGTCTCTTGCAAACTCAATATCAATGACACTGATGATGCCTACAAGCTTCATCAGATGACAGAAATGAAAAAGTTAGGAGGAAATCTCCCACAGACTGCGATAAACGGTGGCTCAGGTCGACGTCCTTTCGCGTCTTCGATCCTAGACATGTAAAAGAGCTAGTGATATCATCGAAATAGTGGTCCGTAAGTCCATGAGGATGCGACCAGTTGTGGTTTTGTTATACCGAGCGTGAGATGCTACGTCCAAGAAACAAACCAGAAAACTCGGCTTGCACAGTCATTCTGGTGGGAGCAAAGCGTTCACGTTCTGGATTATGGCGCGGAGATTGTGGTAAATTGATGGGCGACGAAGACTTTTCGATTGGGGAACCATCCCTATGGCAGGGTCCATGTGATCATATCGTCGCTCCGAGATCAAGATAACCCAGTGGTTTCGTTGACACAGATACAAAAGCAATTGTGAGATGACTGTCTGAATGTCGCAAAGCTGCCCAGGTGAGGTCGTGAGGATGGAATGAGGCAACGGGGGCCTTCCATGTCGCCCGTGCGTCATCGCCACGATTTCCCCAGCCTCCGTTAGCGCCTTTTCGTCGCATCGTCACCGTCTCGACGCGCCAGATGTCGCCCTGAAGTGCGCAAATCCGGCGCGTCCATCTAGCGCAACCGCAGAATCAGCGCGAACATACCACGACACACTCGAAACATGGACGATCCATCTTCACAACTCCACCTCGAGATTCGCGACGCCGTCGTTCGCGCGCTCGCAACGCGCCGGCCCATCCTCCACCACCTGAACGCCGATTCGTCTTGGCTTCTTCAGATACCGCGTCCAGCAAACGCCGTCAAACACGGGAGCCGGGTATACTACAATGTCTTGATAGATCCGTGGTTCGTTGGTGGGCAGAGCGATGTCGCAAAATGGTTCAGTCAGCAGTTCCACGCGACGGAGAGCGCTGTAAAGAGTATTGCCGAGGTGGAGGAGTTGGCACGACAGGTCGAAATAATGGCTGGAGGACTACGACTAGGCAGAGGAAGAAGCAAAAAGAGGAAGGTGGAAGAGGTGGATGAGGAAAGTTATGTGGATTGTGTGGCTGTTAGCCATGAATTTACCGACCACTGCCATAAAGAGACGCTTTTAGAGGTTCATCGTGATGTGCCTGTGCTCGCGACAGAGGTATGTTCTCGTGCGCCATGATCAAGGGTAATTTGAGCTGACAAGCATCGCAGCAAGCCGCCAACCTCATATCCTCCTGGAACCATTTCCGCACCGTAATAACAACACCCACCTTCGCCGACCACTCCGACTGGCACGACTACAGTCTCTCGCCGCTCCCCTCATGGCTCAGCATATCGCGTCTCACAGCGTCCGGAGACTCTCTCTACCTCCACTCCGCGCTCCTAATAACCTTCGCCACGCATCCCTTCCTGTCAACAGCGACGCCTAAGAAGCGTCTCTCTACACTCAGTATTAATGGCGATGGAGCGGAGGAACTATCATCTAATATCAACGGCGAAGAAGCGGAATGTGTAATCTACACACCACACGGCATCCCCCACGAAGCCCTCAGCCCAATCGCCACAGCCGACCCACCACTACATACCCTCGCTTTCCTACACGGCCTCCACGATGTCTCTATATCCTCTGCCCAACAACTCAACCTCGGCGCGAAGAACGGCATCCTCGCACAACGCACACTTCGAGCAAAGTACTGGGTCGCGACACACGACGAGGTGAAAAAGGGAGGAGGCCTGATAAGTTGGTTCCTCCGCCGAAAGGTGTGGACAGTGGAAGACGCATTGAAAGAGGCCAGAGCACAAGATGGGGATGTCTTTGAAGATGTACACTTTCAGGGTATGAAGAATGGAGAGAGTAGGGTTTTGGAGTAATAAGCACCGTTTCTTTGGAGGGAAGGCGAAGATCGGCTGTAAGTAATTTGTTTTGGTCCCGAGTATATACCCAATTTCGCGAAGCAGGGCCGAATCAAAGGCATTTTCCAGATCATCGACGTATGCAACACTCGCAGTACTCTTCCACCTCAACCTAGGGAAAAACTAAACAGATCTGCAAACCCAGGGAAGAACTGAATAGGTCTGCAGGCTACGTTTTTTTTTTGTAGTTACAGCATACATCAACATGAAAACATGCAAAGTAGGAGATCTAACGTTAATGTAGGCTCTAGGCCTGTTCGGTTTTTTTCTTGTATAAGGTGCTTCCACTGACGAAGGGGGTAATCACTACCGTGGGCTCAGATCATAGTTGCTTCTTACAGCCCCGCAAGCTGGCCCCGGATCCTCTGCCTCCACTTCCCCTTTCGCTATTTTCTCTTCCAGGATTCTTCGTTCTTCGTTGAATCGATCTCTCTCTGCCATACGCTCGTTCTTAGTACTTGGAGATGGCAAAACACCAGGAAGTGGATTGAACCATTGTCTAGAGAAGGCGTCAGCTTATTGCCACGTCATACCGCAACACTTACTCTTTCGGTGTATTCCTGCCATCGAAACCACGGAACCGGTCTTCAGTCGCCTGACTCCAGTCGTGTCGATCAAGGTACGCCTTCAACAGGAACGGTGACATGGGCTGTGCATCATAGACCTCTATGCCAGTTGGCTCGTCATCCGGTCCTGGCATCCAACGAAGGGTCCTGCAGATGCCGTCACAGCCTATTTGGCGGAAGCACTTGAAATCTGCTGGGCGCTTCATCGTTGCGGAGAACTCGGCAAGCGCAGCTTTGCCCTTCGAAGGGTCTGCAGGGCCCGCTTCGTGGACGCCGGTCTTCTTTGGATGGGGTTGTGGCGTAGACATGCTGATGTGTAGAAATATCGATGCTGTTGAACGCAGATATGAGGGGTGTTGCTATTGCGGCACAGGCGCACAATATGAGGGGAATGTGCTGACTTTATGAACAGGTCTGCAGACTACATTAAGTTAAAAACTTGCGAAGTAGGTGACTAAACGTGGATGTAGGCTCTAGACCTGTTTATTGATTTTCTTGTCCAAGGCAATAGCCATCTTGTAGAAGTCTCTAGGCAGCTTAACAGCGGACGAGCGCGAGCACGCGACAACGTAGGCTACTGTTTAATCTTCGCCCGCCCACACTTTCCTTGTTGTGCCGAGAACTTGTCAGTTTTTGGGGAGGCTGATAGATGCTGCATACCTAGGTAGCTGTTCAAGAGGGCACATACCGCAGTCTCGGCATGAATAATCACTCAACATACGTTTGACTAATTGGTATCCAAATTCATCTTCACGGCGATTGGGAGATTGCACGTCATGGGTAAAACCATCTATCAGTTGTCCACAACGGGAATTCCAGGCCGAGAACTCGAAGTAGCTTCGTCTACGTGCGGTGTTAGGAGTGTGTATAGCACCACAGTTACATGTAGTCATGCACGTGAACGTCTCAAAATCGGTGTTCGGAAGATAGCGCGACTAATGCGCTGATGCATATTAAGGAAGAAGGCTCATAGTATACTACATGAAGATCAAGATCCCATTTTTCCATCCATCGTCGCTTCGCATAGAAAAACACAAATCAAGAGGGGCTCCTTGCCACCAACGCCATTACTATGCAATGCTCATCTCTCTGTGATGATGTTCCAACAAGCCCGAAGTAAAGGGGGAATGAAGAAGGTAGTCGCTGGGGGAAAAACAAACAATGTCGCCAATCTTGTGGGAATATATAGGTACACGTGTATGGAGGTGTCAACGGAAACAGGGGTAAAGTGAACAAACAAATGCAAACAAAGTGATCGAATCCGTGGATGCAGGTGATGAGCTAGACGCTCAACCCCACGGTTCGTAGAATGGGTATGAATGTCGATATGGACAAGGTCGCTTACTGCGATTTAGGTACACACTCTGTGTACTTCGCTGCGAGTTCTTGTGCAATCTCAGGCGTCTTGACTGCGTAAAGAACAGACTGGAGTCCGCCTTCCTTGGCAGGCTTGGTCGCCATGACCATCTTCTTGCTACCGCCAGTGACGGTGGCAGGCAGCGCAGGTAGAATCTGGTAGTTGACTGGGGTGGCACCGCTCGGGATGCGCACTCGCACAGAGCATTTGCCCGTCTGCTTGTCCTTGAGGATCCAGAGCGGGCCCTTTGCGATGTTCGTCCAGCCCTTCTCTCCCTCCTGGTGTTTGGCGAGTACGACTTCGGTGTGGAAGACAATGTCGTAAGTGTTGAGCTCATCCTCAGTCAACTTGGTCAAGTCAATCTGTTCTTGCTTGCCACCCTCTTCGTCATCCTCTGCTGCAGATGCGGCACTGGTATCACCAGCTTCAGAGAGAGGCGTGTTTGCGCGCGAAGAGAATACAGAAGAGGTCACGGAGTTACCGCCGGATGGAGCGAAAAGCGAAGATCCACCTGTGGACGGGGCGAAATTGAAGATCGAGCTGGGTGGTGGTTTCGCCGGAGTTGTGGAGAACTCGCCAGCACCAGGCGTAGCAGGCTGGAAGTTAAATTTGGGTGCAGTGTCCTTCTTCTCAGTAGCAGGAGCTCCGCCAAACTTGATCGGAGTACCCACCTTGAAAGTCTGATCGCCGGCAAACGTGTCGGTCTTCGGCGGCGCGGTCTTGGATGCAGCACCGAAATCGAAGAACTGGAAAGGTTTGTTGGAGGGAGTTGTAGTACCGTTACTCTGTCCGAACAGAGAAGAGGCGCCACTGTTCTCCTTCTCTGCCTCGGAATCATTGTCCCTGGTGATCCTTGAGAACAAGCTGCCCTTGGAACTTGACTCCTGCTGATTGTGTTGTTGGGTATCTTCGGATTCGGTCTCCGATGCATCGACGGAGCGCTTCGGAGGCGAAGGCGGCTCTGCTGACCCAGCATTGTCTTGTTGTTGGTCGTCGTCATCCGACTCTTCCTGGTTGCTGGAAGAAGGACCTGATAGGTGGCCGAAGATATTGGGGGATGATGCTTGCGACGTGGAGGCGTTGAAAACCGATTGACTGCCTGTAGACGGCGCCGGGCTGGGAGCTTTGGGAGTGGAAACTCCGCTCTTAGGCTTCAAAAGTCCAGTGAACGGGTTCTCCTTGGGTGAAGTACTTCCAGAACTACCAGGTATCACAAATTTGGTCGAGGCAGCAATCTCCTTCTCTTTGGCGAGACGCTCAGCCTCCGCCTTGTCGTACCTGGCAGACCACTCCTCCTTGGTCTCATCATCTGAGTCGTAGTCCTCGTCCATAGCCTTCCTCTTGCGTTCTGCGGCGAGTTCCTCGTAAGTCTTCGCGGTCTTAGTGAACTGAGCCATAAAGCCGCCTGCCGGAGCACTGCCGAAGTTCGGCTTGAAACCAGCAGAACCTGATGTACTGGTGGAGGAAGCACCGAAGCTTGGCTTGAAGCCAGACGAGGCTGCCGAAGTTTCTGCACCGTTAGTGGTGGGAACTGAGGGCTTGAAACCGAAACCGGGTGTCGATGCAGCTGGCTGCGAGGGCTCGGTGGTGGACTTTTCAGCTGTCTTTGGGGCGAACAGGCTTGTCGATGACGCTGGCGCAGGTGTGGAGGGCTTGTTTCCGATAGCCTTGGCAAACATGTTTGATGTCGCCGTGGCTGGGGCACTGAGCTTCGGTGTAGAAGCCGAGAGCTGCGGAGTCGGACCAGCAGATGCTTCCGTCGCACGAGCTCGCTTGGAAGGGGATGGATCACGGACTTCGTGGCTGTCATCGTTGACCTTGCGCTTCGTGGACAAGCTTGATTCATTGCCGGTGATACCTCGTCCGGCTGCACGTTGCTTCTTCACGTTGTCGATCTTCTTCTTAATGTCGACCGCATGCTGGTAGTGCCAAAGCGACACGCTTGACCAGTCTGCCGTGGGAGGAAGGTTGCTCAGCTGTTGTCGGTACTTTTCGTTCAACATTTGCAGTTGAGCAGTCAGATCGGATATCTGCTTCAGTAGGCCATCGCTGCTCTGCGCGCGAACGGCACCTGGAACAGCCCAGTCTTTGGGAACGTGCACCTTGGGAACCTTGGGCATCTCAGGTGCCTGCGATTCTCCCCTCGACTCGGAGGTAGTGCTGTTGAAGATCGATGTGGCCGGCGCAGGGGAGGGTTGCGAGGGTTCCTTCGAAGCGCTGAACAAGTTGGGACGATCTGTCGAAGGTTTGGGCAAAGAGGCAAAGGGGTTGGAAGCCTCAGGTGCAGCCTTGGGTGTTTCTGATGCCGATGTCGATGCAGAGGGGAAGCTTGACTGTGGCTTCTTGAACAAATTGCTGGAATTATTGTTCTCGGGCTGGAACGTTTGGGAGAAGAGGCCAGAGCTGGTTTTGGGCTGAGCAGCAGTAAACATGCCGCCTTGCGACTTCTCCACGTCGGCTGTCTTCGCTGGCTGTGGTGTGCTGAACGGCTGGAATAGACTTGACTTTGGCGCTTCGGGAGCCTTCACTGTTGCTGCGCCCGCATCCTTGTTGGCACCAAATATGCTGAAACCTGAACTGCTTCCTGTAGTGGTAGGTGTGTCGGCTGGCTTGGGAAGTGCCGCGAACGGGTTGGACTTGGGGGTATCGGCGGAGAGGCTGCTGCCAGACTCTTCAGGCTTCTTGAGGCTGCTGAACAGGTTTGTTGGTGCAGCTGTTCCAGAAGACGTGTTTTCGGCGGTCGGGAGGTTTGCGAACGGATTGCTGGACGGAGCAGAACCAAAGAGGTTTGTTGGAGGGGCGCTTGACGTCGTGCTGTCAGACTTCTGCGCATTCGCACCGAAGTTGAATAGATTCGACGCAGGAGCGGTGGCCGTCGCGTTTGGCGTGCCTTGCGCGCTCGTACCCAAGCCTCCAAAGAAGTTGTTCTGCTTCGGCGTTTCCGAGGTACCCTCCGGCTTCTGTGCGTTAGGACCGAAACCACCAAACATGTTGTTTTGGGGCGCAGCCGCCTGCTTGGAGGCATCTTCCTTCTGCGCACCGGCACCAAAGCCGCCGAACGTGCTTGGTTGTGAAGGCGCCGTAGATTGTGTTGAGTTGCCAAATCCGCTGAAGATACCGCTCGTCGCCGGCGTACTCGCGGTGTTCGAGGCTGTCGTCGTTGCGGCGCCGAATGTGAAGGGGTTGGATGCGGGAGCGGCGGTGCTCGTAGCGTTTGGGGCTCCGCTGGTGGTGCCAAACATGCCACCGGGGGCAGCACTCGATGTGCCAAACATACCACCTGAGGTCGCAGCGCTAGATGTACCAAACATTCCACCGGAAGAAGCGGCGGTGGATGTACCGAACATACCTCCTGATGATGGTGCAGCACTCGATGTTCCAAACATGCCTCCAGTAGGCGCAGCGCTGGACGACCCAAACATACCGCCTGTGGGAGCTGAACTGGTAGTACCGAACATACCGCCTGATGAGGCTGCGCTTGTGGTGTTGTTCTGACCTAGGCCGCCAAAGGGATTACTTTGCGCCTGGTCGTTGTTGCCAAACATGGACGATCCCCCAAATGCGGGCGCAGGCGTGCTGCCATTGGTCGCGGGTCCCGAGTTGGCCGTCGCGAATGGGTTTGCACCTCCAGCTGTGAAGTTGAAGCCCGCAGACGAGGGCGGTGTAGGGTTGAAGCCTGTGCCCTGGTTGCTTCCTCCGAACGCTGGAAAGGACGAGGCAGCGAAGTTGTTGCTCGGGGCAGCGGACTGCGCGGGTGGGAAGCTGTTGGTTGCGCCGCCGCCGAAGGCATTGCCGCCACCGAAACCGTTCGCGCCGTTGCTCGCGGGGGCGGGTGTTGAGGCACCGAAGCCAAAGGCGTTTTGTTGTGGTGCGCCAAAGTTCGCGCTCTGTGATAGACCCTGGTGAGCGCGTGCGTTAGCAAAGGCCTGCATCCTGCGTTGCAAATCGCGT